ACACTAGCAAACAGAATACAACTCTAAACTGCATATTCAGCAAGACTGGTACTCAAAAACACTCACAGACTTCTCCCAAGAGGAGATATTTACTACTCTTAGCTAGCTACCTAACAACAAAGCCTGTGAACTCTTTGGCATAGGCTATGAAATGCTTAAATATGCAGGTTCCAGCTTCATTAAAGAAATAACTACTCTTTTTAACCGATATCTTTCCTCCCAAACAATTCTGAAACAATGAAAAGAATGAAGAATTTATCTCATATTCAAAAAACCAGTCTTTGATAGCAACCTGGCCAACACTAGACTCATAAGCCTTATCAGACATATCAAAAAGCTTTATATTGTAATATAAGAAACCTCAATCAGTTAACTATATCACTTGACTTAATGTGCAGAGGGCAAGGAATGTATAGAAGAACAAAATAAACTAATACAAGAACTAAAACAAAATATTAGATAAAATACAAAAAACCTAAAAGAGAATACTCAAGAATGATAAAGAAGCAGTATAACTAAAACACAATAAAAAGAGCCTTTACAATATAATGGGTAAAAGATAAAAACTAAACAAAAATATAACCAAAAATACTATAAAGAAGGCCTTCTCAACGTAGTGGGTGAAGGATAAAAAACAAACTAAAAGATAATAATAAAAACACAATGAGTGAAAAATACAAACAAAACAAAAACAAAACAAAAGTATAAGACAAACACAAAAAGAGAAGCCTTTACAACGTAATGGGTAAAGGATAAAAACAAGACTAAAACTAAACAAAAATATGATAAAAACACAATAAAAAAAGCCTTTACAATATGAGGGTTAAAGGGTAAAAGATATACACAATATGGTAAGAGTATAGTCAAAAATAAGTATTAGTTTATTAGATAAAGAACAGGACTTGGAGGTATAAATCTAAGCTAAAGAAAGGGCTTTAAGATAAAAGAGAACTTTTAATAAAAGCTTAAGTAGAAGAACCTTTAATAAAAGTTTAGCTAGAAGAACCTGACCTGCCTTGGTAAAAAGGGCAAGGTTTATATAGCTTTTTGACATGCTAAAAACATGTTATTGTTATTTTAAAAACATATTAAGATACTATATATCAAGGTACTATAGTAAAGTACTATGACAAGGTACTATGTCAAGATACTATGCTAAGGTACTATAGCAAGGTATTATGATAAAGTACTATGCTAAGGTACTATGCTAAGGTACTATGATAAGGTACTATAATAAGGTACTATGCTAAAGTACTATGCTAAGGTACTATGCTAAGGTACTATGCTAAGGTACTATGCTAAAGTACTATACTAAGGTATTATACTAAGGTACTATGATAAAGTACTATAGCAAGGTACTATGATAAGGTACTATGCTAAAGTACTATGCTAAGGTACTATAGCAAGGTACTATGATAAAGTATTATGCTAAGGTACTATGCTAAGGTACTATGCTAAGGTACTATGCTAAGGTACTATTGATAAGGTACTATGTCAAAATATTATGCTAATATAACTCCGATTACAAAACGGTAAAAAATCTACTAATAAATCTAATAGTATATATTTGAATCATGGTACTTAAACTAGACTATAAATAGTAATTTGTGTAACTATACCAACGCTAAAATATGGTAATATAATACACAACTCTTATTAAATTAAATTAGCTATCAGATAAAGTTAGTATACAAATTTTATTTGTATTAATTTTATTTTACATAATTCTAAAATGTATAATTAGCTAAAAAGTATATATAATATAATTATAGCTATAATAATAAAATAAATTAATATATTTACTCCTATATATTTACACAATATAAACTATATTATTAAGTGTGATTATATAGAGTAGATACTATACAATCACACTCCTTTATAATTACCAATTTTGCTATAACAAATAGCGTAATTATAGAGGAGGAAGACTATAGTACTATCTTTTTATAATAAATCTTTTTTTAAAAATTTTTATTTCAAAATATATACTCACTTAAACTTTTTATAATAAGTATATTCAAATATTTGTAAAATTAATATCTACTAAAACTTGAACCCAAAATCTGCTTATAGAAGATTAAATGTCTAGACTACTAGATTGTAAAATTCTACTATTTTTATTATTTTATTATTAATTAAATAATAAATTTTTTTCTAAATAATTATAATTATACAGTATATTACAAAAGAAAAAGGCTAGAATATACATAGTTTGGAAGTAACAATTGCAAGCATATTAAGCTCAATATAGCAGAAAACAAGTAGAAAGAAGCAAGCAAGTTTGGGGCTTTACTATATCAATTAGATACTAAATATAAAAGATAAAAACCTGTTAATATAATAGCAAATAAAGATATTAAAAAACTGTTGCTATAGTAGTATAACTTTACTCTAATACAAGTCTATTGAGAGTTTAATATTTGAAAATAAAATTATTTTTTTTAATAACTATAGCAAAAATTACAATTATAATTTTATAATTTATACAATTATTTTAATTATTTTATACAGTATTTTTGTTTAATATAATATATTTATAGCAAATATATTTGGCAACAAAAAAATATAAGAATAACAACTTAATATTAATGAATTAATATATATGAAAGATATGTTTACTTCTGTTATAAAAACTTTTTGTATAAAAACACTAATTTAATTACAATATAGTAAATCTTATAGTGTTTAAAATATAGTATAATTAAAATATTATTAGTTACAATTTGGTAATCAAAATTTTTTATATAGTAGAAAACTTTAAACAACTAGCTTTTGCTGCTTTAGACAAGGTTTATATAAAGAATTTATAAAGAATATTTTTTAGTATTGTTGAAAATAAATATTAATACCAAAAATTCTATAAATATTAAAAATATCAAAAGCACATTGCCTAATATTGATAAATTAAAATAAGGTTATAAAATTAATACAGGAATTGAAATATATTTAATAAAAAAAATTTTGTTTTACTTTTGATAGTAGAATTTAAAAAGCTAAATACAAATTCTAGTAATGATAAAAAAAAGCAATTGCAAGAGCAATGTAATTAAATCAATAAAATGTTTTGCTTCTATAAAGACAAGTTTAGAAATTTTATAACAAAAGAGTTATTTAGATTAATATACAATTTATTTGTTATTAGTGCAAGAATTTCAAATATGTATAATATAAAGTAAATAAAGCTATTTTGACAAAATTACCACTTTTTACTAATAAAAGTCTGCCAAAAACTTAAAGTTTTATTTTTCTGTTTTTAAACTACATAAATTTGAATTTGCTTTACAATATAAAAAAATAAAAACTTATGTTTTATATAAATTATATTATGATCTCTATATAACAACAATTTTTAACTTCTCTGTGAGTATTTTGATGAATATGGTGATCATTAACATTTGGTAAATGTAGTAGCCCAAGACTATTTGGATATTATATAGTTATTGAATGCGAAGCAGCCAATAACTCGAATTATTTGTAAAATAATTCATTAGGAGTTATTGGCTAGCATAGCATACAATAACAGAATTATCCGGTATCTTATAACGATTATGCTTCTAAATGACTTGAGTTTTGGCAGCACAATCATAATAAGCTGTCAGATAAAATGAATTATTGTATGATTTCATAAATATGTATGTTTATAAAGTAATGAGATCTGAAATATTCTAAAAAAAAATAAATAAACATAAAAGATCAGCAAGATAAGACAAATTTTAAGTAAATTTATGAATTTTTCCAAATAGCTTTATATACTAAACAGTTTGGTATAGAGAGAGAAAATTTATATAACAAACTTATTCTATACTAAACAAAAAGGTTCAAAATATGTAGTTCAGTATATCCAGAGTCGACTATACTAGATTTGTAACCTAAATATACCTTGTTATATTAATTAAACTACTTACAATAAATAAAAGCAAGTTACTATTTAAAAAAAACAAAAAACATATACATATATAATTATTTTGGCATCTACTTTTTTGCTAAAAAAATCAAATAATAAATACTATTTTCCTTATTATTATTATTATTAATTATATAATTTTTTTATATAATAAATTAATATTTTTATTTTATATAACAACTTTAATTTTTTTAATTAAATAATTTACTTCTTGAATATTTCATAAACTTTTAATAGCTTGTTTTAATTTTTATTTTTATAAATAAACTTAAAATTTTTACTTTTTTAAAAAAAATTTTATTTTGTAAACTACAGTATATTATTATTATTTTAATTATTTATTACTACTTTTACTATTATTAATAATATTACTTTTATTATTACTACATATTTCTCTTTTACTATAAAAAAATTACTAATTTTTAGTTCTTTTACAGAAGTATTGTTACAACTTTTTTTTTTTTAGTAAAAAGCTTTGTTTAAAATTTTATTTTAAATAATTTATAAAATAATTATATTTACTTATTTTTTACTAAAAAGTTATAACAAAAAATTTAAAAATTTAAATATAAGCTACTGTATCAATATTAAAAATTCTTTATTTATTCAAAATTTTTAAATAAATTTTAATTTTAATTTTTATCACTGGCTTGCATTCTTTTATATTATATATATATATATAAACATCTTAAACTGTCAGTTATGCTACGTAGTATAATTAAAAATACAAATACCCAACTTAGCTGATTGACAAAAAACTAATAATAATATAAAATAGTTACATATTGCTATAAATCAGAGAGTAGAGCAATCCGTGCAAGCTTAGCTATAACAATAAAAAGATATTATTGTACGATAATTCAAAATTAATTTCACCGTTTCACTTGAGATTTCTCTTTTAATTGAACTATATTTTGTAGGTATAAATGTTCGATTATGCGTATTCTTTTAATAAATCAATTTCCCAGTAAATCAATAAATGTAATATAAAAAGGATAACTGAATATACATCTATTGTAAATCGTAATTAAAGAAATATAAAATAGGATGACTATCTTGATATCCGCGATTAGATATCTGGACGCAAACGTTATTATCGAAACATCTTTTCTCTTTGTTTCCAAGAATTGCGTATTTTTGGTATATGATCAATTAACTATTAAATTTTGTAAGAATTTTATTAGTCATTACATTAACTTAAGAATGTAGTAAACCACATAAATACCTGTTGTTCAGTAATTCCATCCATAATGCTTTCTTGTATTTTTTCTACCACTGTATAATGATTTGCATGCGGTTTATCATCACGGAACCTTAAAAACCTCCACCGCGTGGTTTTGTCTGGTAGAGTTTCACAAGTTACTTCAACTATACGTCTTTCAAGTGGCTCTTCATTGCGTTGCCATCTAGGTAAGTTCCACAATGCTGTGAGATTATATTATGTTCACATGATCTCATTTAGATTTCTTGATATACTTACTCATCCCATTCATCATCGGTAACATATAAATCATCAAAGTATGAATGTTCATCTTTTTGCATCCATTTATATAAAAGGAACCTTTTTGGCCTATTGAAGTTATTTTGATAGTGAAATCCTTGTTTCCAACCATCTTCAAGGCGTAATTGAAGATCAATAGAATTTTCATTTGGTGGTTTCCATTTTAACCTTTTTTATAGTATATTTACGATAAATGCGTTGATTTGGCTAAAGAATATCAACAAAATACATACATTTTTTCACAAGTCCCTGGTGAATATGGAGCTACAGATGATGTAAAAATTAAACCATCACTCTTATGCTTCAGCTTCGGTATGGTTTCATGCAGAACTTTGTCTAGGCCGTATGATAACTCCATAGGCTTGACTTCTACCTTTCTTTATATCAAATTAGGTTTATATTTTCTATTATATATACGTAGAAAGCAGAAATTTATTGCGGCCATTGTAAAAAAAAAGGACAACTTACATGCAAGATGAAGAACCATTTAGTCCTGGACGTCGACTTGAAAGGTCTTTATATGGTTTTATAACACGTTCACGAAGGTACTATTTATTAAATTATGCCAAAACATGTTAACATATTTAATTAATTTACACGATTACTATACGATTAAGCTAGTAAGAAAAAACTTACACCTAATCTGCTAGTGAGTGGTTTACTCATTAAATTCTTTTTCATTACTACCAGCAAGTCAAAAGCAAGTAGCTTTTGAGTTTCCTATAGTAACAAGTAATATAAATAAAACAAGAGAACAATTAATAAATTTAAAATAATAAATTTTAAAAGAACTTACCATTCCATCATCTTCAACATCAATAATTAGTTCACCATCAACTATGGTGCCATCGTGGAAAATCTTATCATCTTCCGGAATAGGAAATAATAAGTCAAAGAGTTGGTGGTAGTTATTCTTTCGATCAATCTATAATAATAATAATAATAATAATTAATAAATTTTTACGCGCTTATTTTAGACGATGAATTTTTCTAATAAACAAAGGACACGAACCAGATAAACACACGGTTGACCAGTGTGACTATCAACTGTCAAATAAAGTAAAACACGTATTCCATCTGATTTTTCACAGACAAAATAACTGAATTTATATGTCAAAGTCATATGAGCGGTGATGAAACAAATATAAATGCTTGTTCAAAAATATAAATCATTACTTTTCACTTTCTAATTCACGCAAGTGCTGATAAGTGAAGCTGACAGGCTGGGCACCTATAAAAAAAAAAAAAAAAAACGGTCACATAAGTTTATCCGTAAAGAATTTTCTTCAAAAAATCCACTTACCAGCAAAACTGTAATAAAAATGAAATTTAAAAACTTTTAGAGAAATAAAATAGCTCGAAACAATAAAAATTAAAATAAATAATTTATAATATCTATTATAATATCTATTAATTTAAGAAATTATATTCAAAATATATATTTTAAGATCAGGCGAGACTCACCTTGATATGTTTACCAACTCTTTTACTTTTGCCCTTAGCTCTCTTGCACGAGAGTTATCTACTAGTTGCCCTGGAATACCACGAAAGGAATTTGACATGTGTATATTCTATGTTTTGCGTAAAAGTGAGAAGTTAAATTTTTTAAATTTAAATTCCGCTTTACAGCTTTATTTATAATTTTTGTCTGTAGTACAATAAACGTTAGCACGTGATATTTGCGCAGTATTCTGCTTTAAAACCTAGCATTAGCAGACTTAACTGTTAAAATAGCATTATAGCATTAGAGTAGGATTATGATATGCGGGATTTGATGGCGATATGATTAAATTCGGTTACTAATTCGAGCATTCTAAATAGAAATATTAAAGTACTAAAACCCTTGCTAATCCTAACTCTAAATTCAGTAAAAATTTACAATAAGTACGTACAAAATATGTACAAATAATGTATGTGTACGTATAATAACATATATAGTAGCATTGAACACTTTATTACATTATAAACGTCATAAATCATGTTTAGGATATGTAGTATTATCCAAAAGAAGGGCCTCAATCTATTATACACGTTACTCTTTATACTGACATTTGGATATAACGACATCATAGTAAAATCTTTCTGACCGACTTTTTTTTTTCAAAATTTAGTATAGAATGTCGGCATAACTCATTGTGTCTTAAAAATGTCGATATAACCAGAGTGACGAGTATACGATAAAAAAATATATATATATTTTTAAATGGTCAAATAAAATAGCCAGATAGGTACATCATGCAAGGCCTCTTTTGTGCTTGCCAAGAATCAATCCAAAAACAACTCAAAATAACTATCAAGATTATTTTGTTATCTTGATAAGGAAATATAATTGGTCTTCAGAACTAGAAGATCTTAAACGAGAGGAGAGGTTACATAGCAACCCTCTGTTCTCAAAAAATGGTTTCCAAACATAACACTGACCTTTTCCTTGTAGTTATCAAAAGAACCATCATCATATCAGATACGGAATCATCATAAAATTGTCACATTTTTCCGAAATATACTATATTTTTATGGTATCTGATATAATTAGCCATAAATTTAGTGACTGCCTTAGATATAAGTAGCATTATCTTAAATAAAATTTTTGAGGGTCATTTGTTATCTTAGTTGAAATCGGAATCTTGAATGAAAAATTTTTAAAAAGAACAAAAAAAGAGTCCATTATCATTCCATTAAATAAAAAAAAGATTGATTGTATCTACATGCCACAAACGCGTATATTTTTGTTACACTAACACATAATTATAGTCACGCGTGTGAACATAATTTTGGTTCAATACATCAATAATGCAATTTTACGTAATAAGAAATGCGAAGAGTTTTTTTAACACATGCTCAATAAAACTTTAAAGTTGGCGTTTTATTTGTTGAAAAAAAATTTTAATTTACACGTAATTTTACGCGTTTTTTTGAGAAAACTGCTTTTCGATCAAAAAAGTGGTCTTCACAAATGAAGGATCTTCAAAAGTGTCATAAGGTACACCGAGAAGGTAGATAAATGTTTTCCTCTCAAAATATTGAACTGTATTATTTAATAGAATCTGAAAATACTAACTTCAACCCAACAGTTCGTTTTGTTTCTCAAAACCCGTCGACAAACATTGGAAGCTTTAAGCGACAAATTCAGATAAAACTTTTATAAATTTTTATAAAATTCTAAGCATTTCATTTCAATTTTGTATTGACATATAAACTTTCTTTATATCATCAGAATCGTAACTACTAGTGTCCGTGAAAAAAAAAGCAAGGATTATTGGATAGATTAAATCAAAATAAAAACATAAAAATCCTCTCGTCATTTTGGCTTATTTTTCTAATAGTGTACCTAAATACTTAGAAGAAGTTCCGATTACAATAAGATTCATTCTCAGTAAAGGACATATATATATATAACAGCTTTATTACAGATTCGTTCGATCAAAATGACAAGCATTAGAGATGGCATTGTCCAACTTTGTCATAATATTGTGAGGATTTTCTAATTTTAATAAAAATAAGATTCGCATTCAATATTCAACTAATATTTGTTTCGCAAAGCTTTGGAAGAAGACACAGGGATAAAAAAAACGTTGTTGAAATTAGAAATAAAATGCTTCATATAACAGGTAAGGATCAAGTACGATCGAGCACATATAATTCTACTAATGTTTTTGTTCGTTATGTCCGCTCTTAAAGAAAGGATTTAAGGACCTTACTGAAGTAATCGAACGGATTAGTTAAAAGGCATATTAAACACGATCATTGTGTCTTTGGAACGTGAGTACTTTAACACCTATATATTGCCGTGTACCAAAGTCTTATTCAAGAACTTCATTTTTAAATTGAAAGTCTATTGGTCTTCATCACCAAATTGTGTAAAATATGATTATTTTAATGGTTATTTGATGGTTGTATAATCGATTAATAGACCGAGCATCTCTCTTAATGAATTTGATAATAGGCCAGTTTGGTTTAACCGACCAATCAGATCCTTTGTTGAGTAGTATTGGCATGACCGTTGGACATGGACGTTTGTAGACTATGTCCATGTTGTCCATATTTTTCAAACACGTGGGTGAAATTTCCCGAAAATTCTGCAAAAGAAGATTTAGTTTCTCTTAATCATAGCCAACCACAGAAATTACCCTTAGTCACCGCAAAATATCACAGAATTCCAAAATTTATAATCGCATTATATCACAGAAATTACAACATGATATCACAGAATTACAAAGAAATTATAAATGTTACCACAGAATTAGATCACATTAAATCACAGAATTTGTCTTAACCACACGCAGAATTTAGTCTTAACCACCGCAGAAAGTCATCGGCCCTGGTCCATGTCCATATTTGTCCAAGTCCAAATTAAGTTTTTATTGGACATAGTCCAAATGCTAACACTGTTGTTGAGTATCTCAGAGGTAAGTGAGAATAAAACTATATTTGAAAAATATTATGACAAGTAATAAATTAATATAAAGTTTAAGGTTTTATAATTTATCGCCGTAGCGATATGTCGCTCTTATGTGCGGAGTTTCAATTTGGACATACAAATCAGGGACACTGAAACTGTGATTAAACCAAATCGCATAATTTTACATCATTTATCAGAGGTCTTTTTCGATTTTTAACAGCTGCCCTACCTTGTTTGGTGCGTCGAAAGTGCGTTGGGGTACGTCAAGTATAACCTGGCGTATCGAACACAAAATAAAGTTTCCAATTGTATAATATAATTGGAAATTTATTTTGTATTCGATACTCAGGAAGATGCTCTCCTTATGCAAACCCAGGTTATACTTGACGTACCCCAACGCACTTTCGACGCACCAAACAACGTAGGGCAGCTGTTAAAAATCGAAAAAGACCTCTGCTTATTATATCATCTTGATTCAGCCTGTATATTTAAACGTTACAAAAACCGATTAATAGAAATAAATTATTTTTTAGTAGTATGTTAAAATATGAGTAAATTAAATAGCATATGTTAAGATGTAAAAAATGATAAAAAAATTTATTATTTTTTTGTATTAAGCAGTAAAGCGCTTAATATAAAGATGATTTTTATAGAGAGGATGACAAGGATTTTTTTTGTCAATGCTTAATTTTCTTTATTTCAATATAAACTAATGATGAATAATCAATTTTTATTTATTTGAACACAGTATTTAAAGAGTGTTAAAATGATAATGATAATCATAAACAGAACAATTTAGTGCAATATTTAAAAAATTGAAGCTTTTAGTTGAAGGGTTTTTCTAGGCATCTCTGGCCAGAGGTATATAACTTATATATCTCTGGCCTCTTTGGCCAATCAAAGAACGCGGAAATCACATGACTAAGGTTCATGTGGTTGATCCAACTGCCGATGTAAGATCGAACGATATTACCCTGCCCGGATAGGTAAATTCTTTTTTGGCACAATGATCATCTTTGATAGTCTTTGTTTTTGTTTTTTTTTTTTTTGCGATGACTTTCTCTAGCACTTTCTTGTCTTTTTATTTTTTTCTTCCACCTTATTAATGTTTTGCTTTTCTCTTGGGATGTTTCTTCGGCGTTTCTATAGAGGTAATATTTTTTTTAATATGTTCTCTGAAATTCTCAGGTATTTTCAGTGCTTTCTTTTAGTGTTTCTTCGAGCTTTTTCAGTGCTGTTTATTCTAGGAACTTTTGACGTTATATAGTGTGTCTCTGTGCTCTCCCAGCAATGTAAGGTAAATTCTCTATTCGGCATTGTAGATCTTCTAGTGTTTGTCCTCGGGCATTTTTTCGGCATATGAATCTTTGGTGTTTGTCCTTGGCGTTGTAAACCTTCTAGTATTGTCCTTGGGCATATTTGGCATTGTGTGTAAACTCTCTAGTGCTTGTCCTTGGGCACATTCGGCATTGTGGTGAATTCTCTAGTGCTTGTCTTTGTGCACTTTTGACGTTGTGTAGTGAATTCTCTGGGCATGTCCTTGGGC